AAATATTCTGGGGTGTGTTTTGTGCAGTGGAAAAATTTGAGGTGAGGACAGGTGGCCATCCTTGCTTAAAACCCTCCTCCCTTCTTACTCCTTCTCTGCTTTAATCTCCATTAACATTGATCACCATTGAACACACCATATATTTACTTAGAGTGGACCCCCTTACCCGGGGCATGCATTCCAAGACCCCCAGTGAGTGCCTGAAACTGCAGGTCATACTGAAGCCTACATATACTATGCGTCTCCCTGCACGCACATTCACATTATGGCTTCTCTTTGGCCCATCTGAACTGCCAGCATCACTATCCGCGCTGTGGGGCCACTAGTAAGTAAAATAAGGGTTCCTTGAACACAAGCACTGCGATACGACGACAGGACAGTCGTCTGATAACGGTGGCTACCGGCAGGGAGTATATACAGTGTGACTCTGCTGGACAAAGGGGGGGGGGCTCAAAAAGACATGCATTTAAAACCCATTAGTTGCTTGTTTCTGGAATTTTCCATTTAATATTTTCAGACCATGGTTGACCACGGATAGCTGAAACCATGGAAAACGAAACCTCAGGTAAGGGGGGACGGCTGTATCTCTTTTGTTTGTGGTTTCTCTTTCCCCTGCCAGAATGTGAACGCTAGGAGGGCAGGAATTTCAGCTGTGTTGTTCATGTCTGTACCCCCACCATGAGGACAATCTCTGGCACACAGTGGCCCTGGGGATGTTCAATAAATATTTATTGAATGAAGGAACAAATAACTTAATCACCTTCTTCAAGAGTTCCCTTCAGCGTCACTTCCCTTTTCCCTGGAAATGTGGTTAATCATACAATTACCATATGTGGACCCGGAGGAGCTGATATCACCAAAGTGCAGGAAAAGCCAGGTGAAAGGGAGAGGTACCTTTACAGAGTGTTGCTTATCTTTCCAGGCACCGTTTTGATGAAGCTCTGAGGGTGGGAGCACAGATTTTAGGGTGTCAGGAAGGGAGGCGGAGAAGATAGAAGGTTTACCAGTGATGGTGAACCTCTGACACGCGAACTCATTTTTTGGGTTGATTTTTCTTTGTTAAATGGCATTTAAATATATAAAATAAATATCAAAAATATAAGTCTTTGTTTTACTATGGTTGCCAATATCAAAAAATTTCTATATGTGACACGGCACCAGAGTTAAGTTAGGGTTTTTCAAAATGCTGACACGCCGAGCTCAAAAGGTTTGCCATCACTGGTTTAGACAGCACTTGGAGGAAGAAGGAGAAATCGTAATCGCTGGGAGAGGCGGTGGGATCCCATGATCACTCCCCTGACGTGGTGACATTGATCAGCCTTCCTGCCGGGAGGGTCCCAGGCGCGCGGTATCTGGTAGCCTCAGCAGGTCTTCGGGTTTATGACAGGGCGTATCTAACGTAACGGCGGAATGAACATTGGTGGGAAAATGGGCTGTCCAGTCCCAGAGCCGCTGGCCGTGCACAGGTGGCTGCTGAGCACTCTGAGCGTCACTTTCCTGATGAAGCCCCAGCCACCCCACTTAAAGCTTCTACCGCCCCCTTGCCAGCACCCCATTCCTTGTTCTCCTTTTCCTTTTGTCCTCACCACCCGCCTGCGCACTCAATGACCTAGTCCTTTAAGTTTGCTTTGTGCTGTTGGCCTTCCAGTTGGAATGAAAGACCTCCCTAGGGATCGGACCTCTGTCTGTCTTGGCCACGGATGTATCCCACGTGCCTCGAAGCAGGCCTGGCACGGAGCAGGGGCTTAAGCCATAGTGACTGGATGGGTGGCTGGCTTTCTGTCTCTGGAGCGAGGGCATGAGTGGACTTGTGAGTGTCCTTTTTATGAATGGGCTTGGGAGCGAGTGCTCGTGGTGGTGTGACCGTCCAGGCTGTGTTTCAACTGTGGGGGTGACTGTGTTTGGGAGGAGAGTGAGCTGCTCCCAAGCTCTGTCCTCTGAGGCCCCAGGGGCAGTTTTCTGACATGGGCCTCAGGGGCTGGGCACCCTGCCTGGATGTTGTTAAGGTTTGCAAACCGATCCACGGATGGATGGCTTCCTTTGGAATCCCTCAGGATCCTCTCCTTGACTGGCTGCCCCCATGGTGGCCATGGGCCTGAGCCCCGGCCCTGGCAGCTTCCTGGGTCCACTCCCTCCTTTCCCCAGGGCCAGACCTGGACCCCAGGCTTGAGGGGAGGGTGAGGACTGGTGCTCAGCGATGCAGGACAGCCATGCTGGTGGCTGGACTCAGCATCTAGAATCTAGATTCTAGATAGTCTGGACACATGATTGGGAGAAGGGGCCTTGGGGTGCCCCTTGACAGGCGGGGATCCTGGCCATTCGGGGTCTAGGAGGCAGCGGGCAGTCCAGAGGCCTCAGGGTTCTGCAGCAGGTGACTGGGTCCTGATGAAGGGCAGGGGAAGAGGGTCCAGGCTGCCTTGTGCTTAGGCTGTGGGGGAGGCAAGGCCCCAGGTGTCAAGAGCTTAGGTTGATGCGCATGCGGAGATCAACCCACTGACCCTGGCCTTCAAGGAGCAATGGGTCTGTGCCTCAGTCCGCTTTATGTGGAGGTGGTGGGCACAGAGCCACCGGGAGATGGGGTGAGGAGTGGCCACCCCATGATGACAGTTTCAGGACCCAAAAGGCACTCAACCAAGTGAACTTGGACTGAGGTCCAAAGACAAGTGCAGTAGGGCCAGAGACGAAGTCCCCCCGTTAGGCCAACATTTAGGAAATGTTGCCCAAGGTTGAGAGTCTGCTGTTCAGGGTCAGACAGAGCTCTGCTCACCTTTCACATCTACTGGCTGTGTGATCTTGGAAAGGTTATTTAACTTTTCGGAACCCCAGTTTCCTCATAGGCAAAATGGAGATAGTTTTTATTTCATAGTGAGATTGAAAGGATTGAGCTGTTATTATTCTTATTATTTTATTTAAAAGACTGAACGGATCCAGGAAGGGAAGATTGCCTTGACAGGAATTCACATCATAAAGACCTCAAATTAGTGTGAGGGCCTGGTATGGAGGTGAAATCGGTGACACTCAGAGAAGAAGGCAGGGATCCCTGGAGCCCACATCGGTTCACCCAAAACAGCTCAGTTCCTTCTCAACAGCTCAGTGACTGGTGGATGAAGAATATGAGCTTGAGTGGATGGAGCAGAATCTATATATCGAGCACCTACTGTGTGCCAGATACTTCAATACATTGCCTTCATCTTCACACCCTTGTGCACGAGCTATGACAATCTCCATTTTGCAGGTGAGCAACGGACTCTCCGGGAAGTTAAGTGACTTGCCCAAGACCATTGGAGCTGGGATTCAGGCCTGGATCTATTCAATCCTTTCTGTCATGTCACGCTGCCTCCTAAGACACAGGACAGGGTCTCTCATGGCTTTTGAGGACACGATAGTGGCTGTGAGGGCACAGAGGGACTTCCCATCTGGCCGAACAACAGCCACGAAATGTGCATATGAGTGGAACCAGGTCAGCCTGTAAAGGTCTATGGGGCTCTGCCTTCTACCCAGTTCTGACCAATGTATGTCAAGGATCCAGAAGAAGACGTAAGGGGTGCAGGCCTCTAACAGGAGGAGGTGGCAGAACAGAGGAAAGGTCAGATAGCAGAATCAGGACCCCGAAGGATCTCAATGGGCTTGCGTGACAAGGATGTCACAGGGATAAATGCTGGGGCCCATCTCAACTACAGGGAAGATTGTAGAGAGGAGCAGCAGCTCATAAGAAAGAGATTTAGAAGTCATGGGCCATTAGGCTCATGATGAGTCAGCGGGCTACATTAATAGAGGTATGAGGTTTGGGATACGGGAGGGGACCACCATCCTGACTTGGGGCAGTCACTATTGTTCATATTTGAAGGTCAGGTGTGCTTTTCTGTTTTTTCTTCAGTTCTTCCTCTTTTCTTGGGGGGTGGGGGTGGGCAGGGGGTTCTTAGAGGAACAGAGCCCTTCTAGAGTTTGACCCTTGGGTCCCATCCAGAGCGGCCCTCTGAAATGACACCTTTGAAGCAGAGAATGAAGCTGCAGATTTTCAGAACTTGTGTTTGAGCAGCGAGTCCCGGGCCTGATCTTTATGTCACGCTGCCCTCATTTGGGGGAGAGACAGTGCTGGTCCCTGATGCTCTGACACCGGGAGAGGGCCTGGTCCCCTTGGCCACTGGCCAGGCGCAGCCGCCCCCCTTCCAGCTGTCTCCTCCCTGTCTCAGAGCCTTTATCCCGGTGGTCAGTGGTTGGCCAGGGCCTGGCAGGGCTGCCTCTCCCAGGCCGGAGGCGGGCAGGAACGGAGAGCCTTGCGGCTGCTCACAGCGGGGCCGGATCCCCGCTTGAGCTGGGGTGTCACCTGCCAAGCGGAATTGGGCACAGGAAGCGCCTGGCTCCAAGGCGCACTGTTTAATGTGGAGGTTCTGTTCCTCCGAAATGCACTTCTCCTGGCAGCTGCAGTGAAGGGAAGCTGTTGAGCTTCCCTCTCATGCCAGAATCACAGCCACTTTTTCCTGAGAAAGAAACAGGGCTGCAGACAGTTTTACTCATTAAAGACTTCTTTTCCTCTTAAATCTGTTTTTGTACAAAAAAAAAAATTTTTTTTTTGCATGAACGGAAAAGTAAAACGGATGATATTGAAATAAACAAGGCGTTTGTGATAGGAAGGTTAAAGCAGATTGTTGGGGGTGGGGACGGGGGGTTGGCTACGCCCCACGTTTCTGCACACAGGCTGCTCCCAGCCCGGTGAGGGTGGGAGTGAGATTTCAGGACTCTGCTCACCTCCCAGCCCTCAGGAGCTGTCTTCTCCAAGTGTCTTGGGGTTTCACCTGGGAAGGGAACTGTCACTTATCAAGAGCCTACTAAGTGCTGGGCGTGGACTATGGGGGAGCTCATTCTTTTAGGTAAAGAAAGTTGAGCCTCAAGTGGATTTGGGCAACCAGTGAGGGATATTACAGAGCTGGGATTTGAACCTCCATCTACCTGACCTCAGATGTCACCCTCTTTTCGCTATACTTTGTTACCCTGAGCAGTTGTGTTTGGAGCTGGGGCTGTACAAGGAGGAGGAGAATGAGAAGAAAGAAGATGGAGGAGCGGACATCCTGCCTGGCGAGATAACACAAGATGCTGACCACTGTGAGTGAACGAGGCCCCAGGCGCTGGGTCCTGACCAAGATGGGTGGGTGATTTGGGGGAGGGTGTGGGGTGTGGATGGGGTTGGTTGGATAACCAGGATGGGCTTCCTGGAGGGGGCAGGTCTGGCCTCGCAGCAGTGTGAGCACAGGCAGGAAAGGTGAGAGCCGCCTTGGGTGTGAGGAGGTGAGTCAGGGTGGGGTAGTGATGGTTGTAATGAGAATATAAGTGTTGAAGTGCAAGGAGGGGATCCAGTTGGGGAGTCTGTTGCAAAGGCAGATCCCTGAGGTGGGAGGCAGGAGTCTGAGTCTTGCCCTGGCTCCGCCACTGGCTTGCTGTGAGATCGTGGGCAAGCCCCTTTCCTCTCAGGGCCTTGGATTGTCTGCCCATAAGATGATGGAGTTGAACCCGAGGATCCCCAACGTAGGGCCCCAGGAAGAGAGAAGGTGACAGCAGGATCTAAAAAGCCTTCTTAGCGTCAGAATCATGAAATGTTAGTGCGAAAAGGAATCACCGGCTGAACCACCTTCCTTTATGTCTTAAAGGGCGAGTATTTGTTTTCCAGGTGAAGGGAAGGGAGGTGGGAAAGAGAAGAAAGGGCATTTCCGGCAGAGGGTATAGTGTGAGCAAAGGCACGAATGATGTTGAATAAATAACTTCGTGGGTGGAGGAAGAGCCAAGCGCTCAAACAGGTGAGGGAGATGGGGCCAGACCTTGGAGGACCAAGAGGCTTCGGTTCCATCCTCTGGGCCATGGGAGGCCATTGAAGGGGTGAAAGATCGCTTTGGCAGTTTCCTTGATGATGGATTAGACAGGGGCTGGCGGTGGGTCCAGGCAAGGGATGAGAGCAGAAAGACTGGTGAGGAAGCTCTGGTGAGAGGGTCACCGTCTGAGCAGGGAGCAGAATGGGTAGGTTGAGGACAGCCTCTGCTCCAGAGGAACAGATAGGGCTTGGCGATTGATTGGATATGGGGATGGTCAGGGGAGGGAGAGTCAGGACTCCCAAGTTCCTGGCTTGGCAATATTCACTGAGACAGGAAACACAGGAGGAGGGATAGGCTTTTTTGGGGGAAAGATGATGAGCTCAGTAATGGATTAGGTGAGTCTGAGGTATCAATAGAATATGCATGTAATGGGCTTTTTCTTTCTTGCTTTCATTGATTCATTGAGTCATTGTTTATTGAGCACTTACTATGTGCCAGGCATAGCTGGGTACCACCTTCCTGGAGCTGTCCATCTAGGAAGTTTTCCTAAGCTGAACCTGGTCTGCTGGATTTCTACCCACTGGCTTTCTTCTGCCCTTCAGGACCTCTCAGGAGGGTACCGTCCTTCAGAAACCGGTGAGCGTGGCTCCCCACATCACCTCTGGCTCAGGGAACACGGAGCTGTGGAGAGAATGCGGACTTCAGACAGTTGTAAAGAGATGGATTTCAGCCGGAGTGCCTCTCTGTGCGGCCTCATTTGTTAAGTGGGTTTAATAAAACCTCTCTGACAGGCAGTGGTGTGCTGGAGTCGGTTCCTACTGGCTTGTTTTCCTATTCAATATGATGTTAATTTCAGGTATACAGTCTAGGCCAGCCGTGGGCAAACTACGGCCCGCGGGACGGATCCGGCCCGTTTGAAATGAATAAAACTAAAAAAAAAAAAAAAAGACCGTACCCTTTTATGTAATGATGTTTACTTTGAATTTATATTAGTTCACACAAACACTCCATCCATGCTTTTGTTCCAGCCCTCCGGTCCAGTTTAAGAACCCATTGTGGCCCTCGAGTCAAAAAGTTTGCCCACCCCTGGTCTAGGCCCTAGACTCTAGGGTTAGACATTTATATAACTCATGAAGCGATTCTGCTGTTTCTAGTAAGTCTAGTACCCACCACACACAATTGTCACAGCATTACTGGCTCTATTCCCTATGCTGTTCTCCCATTGGCTTAGAGAACTGATGGAGGGCGTCCCTTCCCAACTCTGTGTTCAGTGACATCCCACTGGTAGCCTGCAGTGGACCCCGGTGGGAACATGGACACCACAGGAATTGGCAAACGCTATAAACCAGGGCTTGCCTTTTCCTCCAGATCACTGGCTGGCACGTATTTACCAGCATCCCACTGCTTACACAGTGACGGTTAGGTGGATGGGTGTTGAGCACCTGGTCCCCGGCACCTACGTAGGCACACACAGGGGGTACGTCATAGCGTGACTACCTTCTGCTTTGACATTTCCCTTGTGCGGGAAAAACTACTGTTTCATTTGTTTAGAATAACAACTCCCCTTTAACCAGGGGCTGTCCCCTCTCTTATCTCAGATCATCTAGGACCATCTATTTGCAGGATTTTATTCTAATGAGATAATTGCAAAAATGAGCAATAATCTTAACCAACTTGATAACTTGGCCTGGTCATAGGGCTTGGTTTAGGTTGGCAGCGAAAGCTGCCGTCTCCCCTCGGCCTCCACAGAGGGGTGGAGGGAAAGGCACGAGGATTTCGGAGTCTCATGAATCTAGGTTTGAATCTTGGCTCTGCCGCCTGCTAGCTATGTAATAACCCTGGGCAAGTTTTTTAATCACTCGGAGCCTCAATTAAGTCACCTGTAAGCCGAGGATGGACAAGCCTCCCTCATTAAGTTGTTGTGAAGATGAAATGAGGTAATGGGTGTGTGGGTGCACAAGGACCTGGCACCGAGGCCCCAGTTTCAGTGAAAGCTTGACCAATGCTGGCCTCCTCCCCTACAACCTGCCGTGTGGACCGGGAGACAGCTCTGACGACGGGGGCTGGGGGAGGGAGGAATTGGGGCTGCATCCTTGGGAGAGATGCCTGCTGGTGGAACATGTAGGCCGGGAGAGGCCGTGGGCTATAGGACCCTCCAAATGTATTCCGAGAGCAGTGGAGGGGAACTCCCAGGCCGCAGTTCACGCTTCCAGGGCCCTCACCTGCAGATCAGCAGATAGACTCCTATCATCCGCTCGGCTTGTGGCTTTCTGGGGCGGCTGCGGCAGCCTGGGCAGAGCTGATTTACCACCCCAGCCCCAAGCAGATTAAATCACCCAGAGTCATTTGAATTTTACCCGGCCTTGTCACACAAATCTTAGAAACTGCTGTCTGGCAAGAAAACTTTGTACTTTTTGGAGGAAGTTTCAGAGCTCTAGAAATTGAGGTGAAGTCGGGAAAAGGAGGTGGTGCCAGGGGCTTCTGTATCTTCAGGTCAGGCCTGAGCTGGGGAGTGGAGGAGGAGAAAGGCGTGTGTGTATGTGTGTGTGTGTGTGAGAGAGAGCGAGAGAGAGAGAGTGGAGGGGCATATTGAAGAGGCCTCTGGGGCAATGTCATCATGTTGTCTCTGGCTGTGTGACATAGGGCAAGTCACGTAACCTCTCTGAGCGTCAGACGATTATTGTGAAGGTCAAAAGGGCCAGCTTGTGTAAAGGGTTTTTGCAGACTTTCATCAGTTCTGTGATTATTCATGGGCAGAACAGACACACTCTTATATGAGTAAGTTATATATGGCCGTGGTTGCCATGTGTGGAGCAGGGAGTACGGCCTCTGGAGCTCAACGAGACGGGGCTCGTATCAGAGGTCTGGGGTTTGACTTGGGCCTTAAAGGAAGCCCAACTCCCAGGAAAGTGAAGCGGAAGGGATTGTAGTGCAATTGGTTGTTGTCAATGCCCCATCCATCTCCAACAGCGAGTGTGTGTGGCTCTGGAGATGAATCCCGATTGGCTGAGCCAGTCAAAATAATCCACCCGCTGCTACCTTGGCAGGTTGGTTGGTTGTAAACCAATCAGTAGACATATTCCCCTGGTCATAGGGCTTGGTTTAGGTTGGCCTGATCAGACAAGAGGCTTAGAACTTTTGTTAGAGGCCGAGGAAAGACATCCAATCTCTCTGTCTGTATTCAAATGAGGAAGCAGGTGGCCCTAACCTGGCAGTCATTTTGTGACTAGGAACACCACGTGAGACTACTGTCAACACGGGAGGTGGGAAGAGGCCAGAAAATCACGAAAAATGGCATCCCAGTCCTGCTCCAACTGTGCCTGAAGCCATTGCATCTAAACTACTTAGTCGAGTGAGCTAATATACTAGTATCCACTTTTTAAACCGGTTGGGATTTCATGTTTGTATTCCTGGCAACTGAAAGCTGGTAAAGGGGCCGCCGAAGGGCGAAGGGCGCTGTGACAGTAACCTGGGGAGTGGGACCTACTGAGCCGTAGGCAGCCGCGAGTGAGGAGAGGGTCTTGGCCGGAGTGAAGGGCAGGGAGGGGTGTGGTGGGCGGGGCAGCAGGCGGCTACGGGAAATAAGGCTGAAGGGAAGCTTGGAGTTGAATGACAAAAGGGCTCGGACACAAGTTTAAGAGTTTGCACTTGATTCTGTTGGTAATGGGGAATAATGAAAGATTGTGAGCAGGGGGCGTGATAGAGCCATGTGAACAGTGGTATTTGGGGAAGATCAACCTATGAGTGGGATATAGGTTGGGTTGGAAGGAGAATTTGGGGGCTGAAACTAAAAAAATATTATTTACTGATACCATACATAATGTTCGCATTTTTTCACTTAATTCTTACAACAACCCCTCTTTTTATTTTTTAAAACTGTGTTTCAAAGATCTTGATAACTTGACCAGATTATGTAGTTAGTAAATGTCAGTCAGGACTTGAACACAGATCATCTGACTTGAGGCTCTGCACTCTAATTTCTCATGTTTGTGATAAAACAGATGACAAATTAATATGGGCCGGACTAGAATAGTGGTCACGGGAGTAGGAAGGATGGACAACAGGCATTAGGCTGGTGAAACCCTAGATGTATTCTTATTAGACTAGAGTCAGAAACTAGACCGGAGTAGCTGTTGTTATCAATATTTCAAAAAAGACTTTCCCTAAAATGATAGATGTTGCAATTAGACAAGAACATGAAATAAAAAGTGTAAATACTGGGGGAGGAGAGCAAATAATCATAGTTTTCAGATAAGATGATTATTCATCTGAAAAAGCTGGTTTCCCCCCAAAAAATAATTAAAAAAATAAAAGTTTTGTAAAATGACTAGTAACAAAACAATGAACAAAAACAAATAGCTTTTTTTTTAATTTATAAAATGACTATCTAGAAGGTAAAATAGAAGACCTCATCCACAGTGGCAAGTATAGAACAATAATACAAAATACCTGGAAATAAACTTTATAAGAAACATTTAAAGTTTACATGAAGAAAACCAGAAAGTTTTCCTGAGGGATATGAGAGACTTGAATAAATCTGACACATACCTCGTTCCTGGGTGGAAAGATGTAATACTATCAGGATGTCAATTCTCCCTAAATGGATGTACAAAATGAAGGCAATGCAATCAAGACACCAACAGGATCCTTTTTTTTGAATTTGACAAAATTACTATAAAATGAATCTGAAGAATAAAAAATGAGAGCAACCAGGAAAGTTCTGGAAAAAAGAAAGAAAGAATGTTTACTCTATCAGATATTAAAATGTTTACAAAGGGACAATCATTAAAAGTCTGTGTAAGAATGTCAGATCATTGGGGCAGAAAGGAGTCCCAGAAATGGATCCAAACATTTAAGGGGATTTTATGTATGATAAAATGGTGTTTCTTTTGAGTTGGGAATATATGAGGTGTTTTATAAGTGATGTTGGGATAATGGGCCAGCCATTACAACACAAGCTGGTTTTTCAAACCAGGAAGACCACAGAGATATAAATAGGAATGAGTTTTTTGGTCATTTTTAAGATGGGGAAGATCCTTTTAATCATAATGTGATATCTAGAAACCATAAAAGAATAGTAAATTTGGATATATAAAAATTAAAAATTTAATACCTGAAAAACCATGAAAATGAAAGTAAAAAAAAAAAGAGAGAGAAAGCATATATGATAGACAAATGTTTAATCTGATCTCAAATGTACAAAGACCTCTAACAACTCATTCAGAAAAAGATAATTATCTCATTAAAAAATGGGTAAAGGACATGAACAGAGGCTATTCACCAAGAACATCATTATAAATGCCCCAAACACATGCAAAGATATTCATTTCCTCTCACTAATCTAAGCAATGCCAATAAAAATGAGTGTCAATTGCCTTCTGTCGATTTGGCCAAACGTTAGAACCCCGGGTTGGCGAGGGTGCGGGCAGGCAGGGGCTGGAGCACTGTTGATGGGAAGCCCATTGTAAGTTTTCTGAAGGGCAGGCTGACAAGATTAGAAACAGCGCACCCTTATTGCAGCAATCTATTTGCAGGATTTTATTCTAAGGAGATAATTGCAAAAATGAGCAAGGAGAGATGCACATGGCTATTTATCACAACATTGTTTAGGAGAGTAAAATCTTGACAACATTCTAAACGATCAATAGAGACACAAAGTATGATACATGCATCCAATGAAATACTATGAAGGGATTAAAATAATTTTGTAGAGCTCTATTTATTGACACGGAAAGATGTCTATGACATATTGTTGAGAGAGAAAAGTAGGTGTCAAGTGAGAACAGTA